TATTCACACTACTCCATTAATTAAATTCATTACATAACTTAAAATATTACATTATAAATATTGATAGTAATTTCCTTGTTATTAATACTGTATACTATATATAAACAACAATACCCAGGAGTTTGAGGAAGGGAAGAAGAATTATTTTCTTCGCTTTCAAGAGAAAATACAACAAGCCTGGAGTACAAAAAGTTCTTAATAGAGAAAAGTAATGCCCGTTGAAACTGAAAGGCTTAAAAACGTCAATCATTATAGGCCTCGGGCCTTGTTGATCGATCAACTATCGCAATCAATGAACACAATAAATGTACTGAAGAGTTTGTTATTAATTAGATTACTGATTAATTATTATTAAATGGTTTTCGTTAATATAAAAGTCTTATTCACTATTTTTATCTCTTTTTTCGATATTATTTAATGTATATGTAGAAATAATATTGAAGAAAGTAACATCTACACTAAAGAAAAACATATCCATTAAAGTTTGAATGTTAGAAATTCTCTTTTTTCCTTTTCTTGTATTGAATCTGTCTGGTTTTTTTCTCTATTTTCTATGTTCTTTATGAACGATTTTCTACTTTTTCTATATATTTTATGCAAATAATCTCCCATCTTCTGCTGTAAACTTCACAATAAGATACTTTTTATTGTTTTTATACGGTAAACCTGTGTAAATCTGACTACGGTATCGAATATTTTCCCGTTTAGGCAGGTTTCCTTTTGAACAGGTTTTACTGTATATATACTTTATCAGTCAGAAGTGAGAATTCCTAGATATAGCTTGTTAAGAGTCCATAATGGTAATTAACACGTCAGTAATTGTCATTAATTAAGCGTAATCGCGTGAAAATAAAATATAAAGTAACAATTCCTACTTTATTTAAGAAGATAAAAGAATAATGCATTTTCAACACTCATTTAAATTTTTCTCGCTGCCTTAATACAATGATTCTTAAGTTTTCCCACTGCTCGCACCTCTTAAATTTTTAACCTCTTCTCGTATACTCCACGACAATATTCATTAATTTTTCATGTATTTAAGGGAATAGAATGAACTAAATTTCTCACATATTTTCTTCTAATTTTAGATACAGCTTACACAATTAAGAAAGCTGATCTGGAAAAAAAACCTTCCAAAAATTTTACGAGAAAGATTGTGTAAAAGGTATGAAATTGTGGATTTTAGGGGTTTAGTAAGGTAAATAATGGCATATGTATGCCATTTTCATAATAATTTCGTAAGTAAGGTGTAATTTTAATATACTGTAGACCTATAAATTTCCATAGTTTGTCTGTTCTTTCATCTCGATAATGGTGTTAAATAGATCTAAATCAAGAGTAAATATAGAAAAGTTGGAAATAAAGTTTTGTATATTTATCCCCCTTTTTATCTCTATAATTTAATTGATAACACTATTCATTATATAAGTTATATACGAACTTCTGATATAGAACAGAAGAACATTATTTTAATTAAAAAATTTTCCCCAGAACGAGAAGATGATCGACATGATTATATTGTTATCAGGGAAAGTATGATTTACAGGGGCGAGACACTACTAATTTAAGATCGACAGCATATATTTTAAATTAAATAGATCAAAATTTTCTATGTCAAAGCTCGTTTAAAGTATTGTACTTCTCCAGGAAACGTCAGTTTTTAAACTTTTCTCACCCCTTTCTGGTGTTTGGAAGTGTACGAAAAACCGCTGTTTTACAGTTAAAATTCATAAAATATTTTAATGGCAATCTATGATTTAATTATAAGAGATTAAATTAAATTATATTACGTATTAATAGTTAGAATTTCCTCTTTGTTTCGGTTCCGAAAATAAGATCGTTTTGAAAGGTAATCAATATTTTTGAAAGGGGAGAGGAAAACCACTGGTATAAAAAGTCAATACTTCAATAAATGAACGAAGCCCATTCTATCAACTTTTTCAATTTTCATCTGAAGTTTATAGATAAGTTGCTCATTAGTTGAGTGAAGAGATACAGCACTTTAGCACGACTCGTTTCATTAGTTTTAGTCAAGTCTATTGTTTCAAGCATAAGTTACTTTAATAAATTTACTTCTTCCACCCTCCTCTTTCAATTTTCATGCAGCATTATTTCATAAAATAACTTTATATATTGGTTATTTTACGTAATCTCGCTGTGCCAGCGTAGGAAAAAAAATATTGTCATATTACTCCTTGTATTACTTGGAGAAATTGAATTTTATGTACTATACTTCCATATAAACTTGCTGAATAGAAACATTAATAATAAATTGCTTATAAAGTATTAAAACACAGTAAAAATCAGTAAAATGGTCTGGGATATTGACGAAGATTTCAAGACGTCGAACCTTTATATAAACCATACAGGAGGAGAGAGAAGTTAGAAAATTTAAAATGAGATAAGTCGAAATATATAAACTAGGCTGGAGAAAAGTAGAAAAGGTGAGCATACAAAGAAAAATTTCGTACATACTTTCCTTTAGTGAAAGTAGATTATAGTACAGAAGAAGAAAGTAAAACACAATATTAGATATTGTGGTAGTGAGCCAACTATAAACATCACTTTATAATTTTATTGTATATTTTTATTAAAAAGTGCTAACGTAATTAATAATAAAGATAATAAATTACAATTTTATAATTCTTAAATTTTAATTTTTCATTAATCAAACACCTTATAAAACAATAAATTTTTTCACACCTGTATAAGAGATTTAATTTTGTAACAAGAGGATTTATTGTTTTCCACCTCTCACACTACAACATTAATACAGTAAAACTTGTGTAAAACGAAATTTTCCTGTTTACCGTTTTATTCGGGTTCCGCTATAGACAGGTTTTACTGTATAATTATGACTAACACGTAATAATTTTTTAAGAAATTTCGTAATTTCTGATTCATATACTGCTCCTTTCTTCTTCGTCTTCTACTCTTCTGTAAGCTCTATCCCCTAATAATAATAATAATAATAATAATATGTAGGACTATTTTACATAAAATTAGAGCTTAGAAATTGTAAATAAGTTTATAAAATACTGTTTAAGATATATTTTGGGGGAGATTTTGTTTACTTTAAAATGAGCTTCAGGCGACGTTCCATTTTTAGTTTCATGATAAACAGCGAAAGAAATCTAATTAGGAAAGTTTAGTGTAATTAAACTTTTGTGTATTTGATCTGTGACGTTTTAAAGATGAATAAAAAAGCAATATTGTAAAGGTTTATTTAATATTTTTTTTTTTTAGTTTTGTAACATTCTTATTCTTTTCTTCCTTCTTTTAAATATAATTACATGAATTATATTTTCTTAAATTCGTCATTTTTCTTAAAACATCTCTCAGCTTTTCATTAATTGAAGCTATTAAGAGAAAGAGGTGTTAACTCAATTTCCACACTTTCCAAGAAAATTTAAACTTTCAAGTTAAAAATAAAAGTCGAATATTTAAAAGACGTTGTGTATTTTATTCTGGTAAATGTATTTAAAAAATCGGTAAATGTATCGTCATAATTGTGTATAATAATTCTTTATAATTTGCATTTTTAATCGAAATTAAATACGTGTAATTAATGATATTAATTGCATTTTTACTTAAATATAACAATGATTAGGTTACATCAATCGCTTAAACTGATTAATTGTTACTATTTTTGCATTGTTAGAAAGCTAAATATTCGCTAATATTCATTAATTATGCGATTTTTGTATTGTTAGAAAGTTCAAGAATAGATTAAGTCCTCAAAATATCTTTTTCCTCATTAAATTACTTCATTCTATGCGTATAAAGGCTTCGAGACGATACTCAACTCCGTGTTTTACATTCATTTACATTGACTTCTATCTTATTATTACTTTATACACGAGCTTAACAGATGTTAGAAATGAATAATAATATTCAACTTTTTAAATTTATAATATTAAAAGTTAAATTTTTAAACTTCAAAAAGGACTTTTTTAAAGTTTAAAAATTTAATTTTTTGATTCTAGAATGAATAACTGCATCACATCTGTTTAAATTCGCTTGTCAGTAACTTGTTAAACGTGTAATAATTACCTTGCTTTAACGTGTTTAAAGAGATAAAAATAACATTTACCGTTTTTTTTAATCGTCATTTTTTCAAATACAGTAAAACCTGTCTAAAACGGAAACCTTCCTAAACGGGAAAAATTCTTCGGGAAGTATCGATTTTGTATGTTAGAAAAAAAACTGTTTACTGCAAAAACCTGCCAAACTGTAAAAATATTCGGTACCGTACGTGTCCGGTTTACGCAGGTTTTAGTGTAATATAATTTTTGACTATTGATAAAATTATTTTCTACATTTCTTTGTTAAATACAATAAAACCGAATGTTATTTCCAGTTTGGCAGGTTATCGTTTTAGACAGGTTTTATTGCATTACCCCGTTTAAATAACTTAAAAAATAGATATTTTCCAGATAAATTCTCTCGTTTTTTATGCCCCATAAACCATAAATTAATCAATTTCTTCCATATAAATGCACGTGGTTTTTCATTCGTCTAATGTAAAATGGATCATCATCTTATATTAAGACCCATAAATCATTAATTTGGCTTACATTTTCCTTAAAGATTCATACTTTATTCATTTCCCCATTCAAAAACAATAAAGTTTAGTTATTAAATTTACAACTTAAACCCACATAAAAGGGGAGAGATATTTAAAAAATTAAGGGGTGTTCCTTAAAACATTTCTGAATGTTTACAGTGGAAAATATATATATATATATATATTACACCTCAATAAATAGTAAAATGTATTTATATTCGTACGTCTTCGATTGTCAATAACATAATGGAAGACTTCACTCGTGAGATTTTAGAAGCCATGTTTCCTCACTCAAGCACAGGTGGTCGCTAAGATATGTCACGTGAGAACCATGGCAACAAGCGGAGCTATCCCAGAATCCAACACTGTCAGGGAAGCAAAGCAAACCTTGCCTGCCAGTAGCGGGCAAGCGGCATTACTATAGTGAAAAACAGTTCATTCTGCTGACATTTCGGGTATGTTCGGTGGAAAAAAGAAAGGTGAGTTTATTTCCTTGTGTTAAAACATTCATCCCTAAAGGCGGCATTCGAGGAATTCTCGCTTGTCAATTGTTCTAGAAGCACCCTTTTTTTTTAATTGTTAATGAAGCGATAAATCCCACGCTTCCTTTGAGGAAAAATGGAGATTTATATGAGAAATTTTCCAAATTTCGTGGATATTTAAGGGTCCTTAATTGGATTCGAGTGATAGTTTCTTGGTGCAATTGTCACTGGGGGTGACATTTCGATAAGAAAGTTTTAACTTTGGCAATTTAGTTGCGGACGTATTTTAAATGTATTTATAGCCTTTTAAGAGGGGGTAAAATTGATTTTTTAAATAATTTCTACTTTATTTATGGAAGATTATCAGAAATTTTTATTTTTATAAAAATATATAT